TTGTCCCTTGCTTGGTATCCCCCAGAGTAGGTGTTCTTGTACACTAAACTGGGTGAACAATCTCTTGTGTTTTTAATTCTTTTGTTATTACTGCTCTTTACTTTTAAACAGATATTTGTGTCGTGACATCTCATTCGACATCACATATCCGATACCAGAATTTCAGGGGCATCTATCAACAATAAGAAATTCCTATGGAGGTTCTCTGCCAAATTCTTTCTGAGTAACAGAATTTTATACAAGCGTAATCATGATTCGACTTTGCTTCATTGTGTAGACAAGAAGGAAGCTGGAAAGATTATGGAACATATGCATGAAGGAGTCTTTGGAACTCATTCCAGCGGGCATACGATGGCTAAGAAAATCTTGAGAGCGAGTTATTATTGGTCGACCATGGAAACTGATTGCTATCTCCATTCTAGAACTTGTCAGAAGTGCTAGATTTATGTTGACAAATTACATGTGCCTCCGGTTCCTATGAATGTCTTGACTGCTCCTTGGACATTCGTAATGTGGGGCATTGATATGATCGGAGAGATTAAGCCTACCGCATCTAATGGACACCATTTCATCCTGGTAGCTATTGATTATTTTACAAAGTGGGTTGAAGCAGCCTCGTTTTTCTCTGTTACTAAGAATGTCGTGGCCCGATTCATTAAGCATAACCTCATTCGTCGGTATGGCATACCCGAGAGGATCATCACGGATAATGGTACCAATCTTAACAACAATATGATCATGAAACTCGGCATACAGTTTAAGATTAAACATCATAATTCCTCTCCGTATCGAACGAAGATGAATGGCGCGGTGGAAGCTTCCAACAAGAACATCAAGAAGATCTTACAGAAGATGACGATGACCTACAAAGACTGGCATGAGATGTTACCATTTGCTCTTCATGGTTATCGAACTTCAGCATGTATATCAATTGGGCAACCCCATTCTCTCTCGTCTATGGTATGGAGATTGTCTTAAATGTCGAACTCCAGATTCCCTCTTTGAGAATTATGAAGGACGCAAGTTTAGATGAAGACGAGTGGATCTAGACTAGGCTGGACCAGATAAATTTAATTGACGAGAAGAGGCTCACGACTTTTTGTTATGGTCAGATGTATCAGAAGTGCATGATCAAGGCTTTTAACATGAAGGTCAAACCTCAGGTGTATCAGGTTGGCAGTTTGGTAATAAAGCACATCATCTTACCACAAGGTGATCCTAGGGGGAAATAGACTTCCACGTACGAAAGACCATTTGTGATTAAGAAGATATTTTCTGGCGGGGCTATGATACTTACCACCATGCACGACGAGGATCTTCCACACCCTGTGAAGAAGAGACTCATTAGGTTGACTGGCCTAGGCAAAAATAAGGGCATCCCGGTGAACAAAAAGGGTTCGGGAAAAAATTAGGGATATATATAAAAAATTGTACACCCGGCAAGCCGAAAACCTGAAAGGTCGGCTTTGGCAAAAAAAGATATCCCTGTGAACTGAAAACCTGAAAAGGTGGTCCAGGAAAAAGTTAGGGATTAAAGCGTATGACTATGTCCCATTGGATCATCTACTTACAACCAGCATAATTACTAATGTCAAGTTCAAACAATACAGATCAATCCAGTCAACTTCTTTCGACAACAAGGGATGAGATGCTTGAAGACATAGGGGCAATAATGGAGTTAAAACTCGATGGGATCATTTCCATATAGCTGTTTTTCTTTATTTCTCTTTGTACGCTTTTTTCTTTTTACAACAATTTCCTCTTACTAGGACTTCTATCTCTTTGTATAAAACTCTCTGTTTATAAACAAATCTTCCAAATCAACACAATCAGTTTCAATTTCAGAAAAAACTATTTTCTCTATTTTGTTTATGAAAACGTCCAATGATTATATTGAATGAACATATGCATTTGAATATGATTACCATTTATAAATATATACATGAAAACATGATTAAAATTTAAGATTTTTGTAAGGGACTAGATCGTTTACCGAAGGCAACATCGAGGGGCATCGAGGGACTACGATCTCTTTTATCGAGGGTCTTTGCTAAAACGCTCATATTCGAGGGACATGACTATTTGCTGAGGCAACAAGCAAGGTTACTCTAGAGGTGCACGTGTAAATAGTGTGTTTGATTGCATGCATTTTTGTCTTTGAGATTAGGGTTTTCTAACGGTTGATTTTATCTTTCCATACACACCCTAATTACTAACAATTTATATTAAAGCGGTAAATTGTGGAAATTAAAATCCTACGCTATTATATCATTAAAGGAATGGGGGTACAATTTACAAATGGGGATGGAGTAGAAACTTAAATATTACAACCATATCAAATAACAATGAAGAAAATATAAAAATAGTGTAAAATAAAGGAAAAATTGCATTTTGAACTATTATGTGTCGACACATGCTGCTATGCATCGACACATAACTTTCCTTGCCCTTGTAAAACCAAATCAACTCAGTATGAGTCGATGCATAATGGGATGTGTCGACTCATTCCACTTTCTGTTTCTGAAAAATCCCAAATCAACTAAGTATGAGTCGATGCATAATAGGATGTGTCGACTCATGCACCTATTTGTATCGACACATACGCATTTTGTGTCGACTCATGCACCTTTCATCCTTCTGTTTTGGGTCCTGGATAACAGTATGAGTCGATGCATAAGGCCATGTGTCGATTTATACCCTTTTTTGTCACTAGAATGAGTCGATCCATGTGGATATGTGTCGACTCATGCTGTAGTTTTTTGCCTCTATCATCATTCTTTTTCATGTATTAGTCAGTTTTCAACATATATTTGATAAAAATGAACATCAAGTAAATGGTTAACTTCAAAGGGCATTGATTATTACATTCTATCTTCACAAATGAACCAAAGATGATGTATGGAAAATGCAAAGTCAAGAAGACTTACCTTGAAACTGCACTTTATGTTTTGAGTCTGAACACTTTTCAAGATGCTGTGTGGTCTTCAATGAACCTCCAAAAAGCTATTGAACCTCCTTCTGTATTGAAAGTTGCTGAACCAAACTCCAAACTGTCAAGTTGTACAATATTGTCTTTTGTTTAGAAGGTGAAGATAAGGGCACTACAAAAGCTGTTCTTGTGCTTGAACAATCTCTATGTGATATGAAATGTTTAGCTGGTTTATGAGAGTGTTTGCAAGGTGAAAGAGCGAGTTGGAGATTTTCTGTTTAGTGAATGAAAATAGAGTAGAGTTTTTTGAATGAACAAGGTTACAAAGACTTATGTTTTTGTTCTCTTTTCTCTCTCAATTAAAAGCCACCCTTGTGTGTTGTGAAAAATAATTTATTTATAGATGAAGTTGGTTGAAGTTTGGGAGGGAAACAAATGCATTTTTAAACTTTTTTGGTATGCTGTTTCATAGCCTTTTTTAGTGCAGCTCTTTATATGCTAACTTGGTGCAACCATGGGACAGATATGATGCAGATTTTCAGGGCAGCATTGCAGATTTTAGAGCAGACTGTGATAGCATAGCAGAACTATTTTTGTGGATTTGAATCAAAGAGAAAAGTTCAAACGAGACAAGGCTTTAGGATTTGTAACTTAAAAATTTCTAACTTAAAAAAATGCAACATTTAATAACTTGAATTATTTGTAACATCTTGAATTATTTGTAACATCTTGAATTATTTATAACATCTTGAATTATTTTGAATTGTAGTGAAGAAAGATGTCATGAGGTAATGAAATTAATCATGTATGAAAAATACTTAGAAATTTTTTACAAGTCTTGCCAAGTTTGATTTTTTTGACCTTCTTGATTTCTGATGATCAAATTGCATGTTTTGAATGCCTTGATGACATGTGATTTTCGGAACTCAAATTTGATCAAAAAGTCCAAGTTTGACTTTTCAGTGTACAGTTGACTTTTTCATCAGTTGACCAAATTTCATCTATCAATCCACTGATCTCGGGAGGTGAATTAAAATATGCGACTAGATCGAAATGATACACTTAAATCCTTGAGATCATATTTCAAACTAAAAAGTCATGTACTAGGTCAAAAATCAAATGTTTGTCACTCTTAGTCAAAACCCTAATTTGGAGTCCCAGCGTTTCGGGGATGATTTTGTCTAATCAATTCCTTGAGAAGTAGAGATCATTTGTGAGGAATGTCTTGAAAAAGGAGAGGGCAAATTTTGGGGTACAATACAAAGTCCAACGAATTTTTTTTTCTTCGGTACACATAATTGAATGTAAGGATGTAAAATTTTTAACAATAGAACACCTGTTATTGTTGTTGAAGAGTCGGTTCTTGTGACTTTTAATGAGACCAAACCCCAAAAGACAGAGAAAAACATTCTTTCCAATTTTAACATTTCAAGTATAATAATTAAATAATTAATCAAAAATCACACTCCTAAAAAAATCCTTCAAAAAATGAGGATATAAAAAACGATAAAGCGGACAAACAACACTAGGAAAAAAACAAGAGAACTCAACTCAATGCCCTTAAGAATTTCATTACGTTCAAATTTCATCCCTTGAAGTCAAACTTTTATTATTAAGTTGATACCTCATAGACAATTATAAAGTTTAATTAGTTATAAGTAATTATAATTTTTTACTTAGCTATGATAAAGTTACGTACCAGTTGAGTAGTTTTGTAGCATTTCTTCAATGAGCAATTCTATTTTAACAAAATATATTTAAACTGATATTCTTTTGTTATTTGGAATACATGTGCACAAGAATTAAAACAGATCGAACGTAAAGAAAAATAAAAACATAGGCTCTATAACAGAATCACATGCATAGTGATGCATGCATGCATGCATGTTGGTATTAGAAACATAGTTAGGTACGTAAAAAAAGTGGAATTTACAATTAACAAATGATGTTAGTGTTCCCTCTATTTAAACGCTCCAACTCCCATTATTATGATATGTCATGAGCATATGTCTTCCTTCATGTGCACTACTTCTCTCCCTCTCTCTCTTTCTCTCTCTCATACAAATATATAATGGACAAAAAAGAGTGCAGTTCTTCTCAAGATCCTGATGTTCGAAAAGGACCTTGGACAATGGAAGAAGACTTGATCTTGATCAACTATATTGCAAATCATGGTGAAGGTGTTTGGAACTCCTTGGCAAAATCTGCTGGTAATAATAATAATAATTAATCTCACATCACATACACATCAATCTTCTACTTTTTCTTTAATCAAATAAAACAATACTTGTAACATGTTTAACTAAGGGCTTGTATGATCATACCTAAAAACTAATGTCTTTTCAATCTTTTAAAAAAATGACCTAGCTTGGTAGGGTTAGTATTGATCCATAATATTTTTCATAAATAATAATTAATAACATGCTTTTTTATATATATATATGGTAGGTCTTAAACGTACCGGAAAGAGTTGCAGACTTCGCTGGCTAAATTATCTTCGACCCGATGTAAGACGAGGGAATATTACGCCCGAGGAACAACTCTTGATCATAGATCTACATGCAAAATGGGGAAACAGGTCAATTTATATAAAATATTTTAATATTTATTGAATTCTATTATTTAGTTATTTAAAAAATGGACATGTTTTGTTTTGCATGAACTCTACAAATCATATTTTATATCAAGATTTAATTAATTTTATGTAGAAAAGTTTTAATCGTCATCTTTGTTTTATATAGTTCAAAAGAATAAGAAAGTTCCTAGCTTTCTTGTTAGTTTTTGGTATATATGAGCTTGTAGTATACACTTGGAATAGAGTTTACAAAGTAGAAGAGAATTCTTTGCATGAGAAAAGATGCAATACTTTTTGGTTTATAGCTTTTCTTTTATGTTTACAAATTTTAATTCGTTGTACAATCTATTTATTAAAATTTTAGAATCTCCAAACTCTTTATTTTTTTAAATTCTTTTTTACCTCTCCTTTCTTTTGTATGCTTTATATTTCCCTCTAACCCCCTATTTATATATTATTATAATATAATACAATATAATTTTTGTTGGTAGTTTTCATACATTTCATTTTGAGCATTTCATTTTGAATGTATCATCTATTTTATTTTTTTGGAGAAATAATAAAAAATATCTTAATTTCATTCAAATTAACTTGTAGTATATTTCACTTTCAAGAATATACTCCCTTCATCACAAAGTTGGTGGTAATTGGCTGTGAAGAAGTTTCATAAACTTCCATATCCTAAAATTAAGTTTGAGGTGAGGATTTTAGGTCAATTAAAATAAGAAATTCCATTGTACAAAAAAAATCCCAAAATCATTTTTTTAAAACATATTCTTTAATAAGATTAAATAGAAAATAGAAAAAATATTTCAAATAAATAAGAAAGAAAGGAACCCATGCGATGCTTAACCTTTTAAAAGGAAGAAAAAAAAAACAATTTGAGTTATGGAGAAAATTAAACAAACCCACCCTATAAAAAATACCATATCTCAAAATACAAGTGAAAATAAAAAAGTTACAATAATATGCAATTTTTTAAATGGAAAATAAAAAAGTTATAATAATATTTAATTATTTATTAAGTTTGTTTTTTTTTAAATAAAATTACTGATTAAATCATATTTTTTTAGAAAAAATAGAGAGACCTAAAATGGTGATGGTAAAAAGATACATAAAAGTTACATTGTTTATAAAAAAAAAAGTTTAAATTACTATGACAATATTAAAATAAAAATAGGGTTGCTACAAATTCAAATAAAAGACTACAAGAATATATATGTCATTAAGGACCTTTGATTAAGAAATCATTTCATATTTTGACACTTACTATATCATAGATTTAAGAAAAATATTTAACGTCCAACTCGTACGTTAAATATTTGTGTTTTTTATTTAACTGTTTTTTCTTATAAAAAATAAGATAAATCATTTGATTAATTTAATAAATTTTTTATGTGATATGTAAAAAAATAAATAAAATGATTTGTAAAATAAGTGTTTTGCGAAAGAAAAATGTTCAAATATAATTATCCTAAATTTAAAACTTCTACTGTTGTTGCATGATACATGACTCTATAAGATATTTACTATGAAAAACCACTTCTTTCAAAATGGATATGCTCTTTATATGTAGCCTATAGTGCAAGAAAACAAGAGTGGCGAAAATATATGGTTAAAAATTTTGTCGATTATGGAAAGAGATTTTGGAGAAATTATTCAAAGAAAAGATCTAAAGAACACTTTCTTTTAGTAATTAAATTCGCTCTACTTCCTATTATGAAAGAATTAAAAAAATATTAAAATAAAGAAAATTCAATTTTTTTTTTACAAACTATGATGTTTGAATCTTCTTTCGATCAAATAATCGTTTAGAACTCGTTAGATGAAATAAATTATTTTTCTAAATCTTAAAATCTCTGCAACAGAAAGATAATCATAGAAAACAATAAAAAAAAATAAAGTAAAAAAATCTTAACTTCTTATTAAAAAAACTATTATTCTGCGAATCTCTTAAAAAAAACTAAAAATAAAAATAATAAGAATATAAATAGAGAACCAACATATCATAAAGAAAATAGATAATTATATAAAAAAAATATAAGAGGCCGTTTAAAATTAGGAAGAGATTGTTGGTAAGAATACAAATTTCTCTTATTTTTCATATTATATAGTTGTTTCACTCTTGTCAAACATGTTTCTTGTATTCCTTAATAACACTTTGAAAATATAAAAATAAAGTCAAAATTAAACAATATTTCAAAATAAAAATAAACATAAAAAACATAGAAAATTTTAAAAAAAAGAAACTTCATTACTGAAATAATAATTAAAAAATTAAGAATAATGTTTCTAGTTGGATCTCTACTTTATATATAGTTATAAAATAATTTTAATTTTCTTAAATATAAACCTATAGGTTTTTTGTAAATGAGAACCGAATATGTTGTGAGTTAGGAGCTGAACCATCTTTACTACACAAAGTTGATCTAAGGTGTTTCATCTAGATAAGTGTATCTTCGAATCTCAACCGTTGGATCTTTATCATTGATTTATGTATATACCATTGACCTCATCAATTTTCCATTTTAGGTTTCTTTTATAGTTATAGTTAATGACATAAAATTTAGGACATTGATAAGTTCTATTTATAAACTTGAGAGTTGAGGAGAGTAATAGGAAACTAGATTTCTTATAGTCGAAATTACATTTGTATTCTTTTTTTGAATCGGTAATTGTCGAGTCGAGATCTGAGAGTTTTATTTTTAATTTTTATTATTTTTTAGAATTGTAAATTATCAAATAAAAACCAAATAGTTTAATCTTAATTCAACAATAGTATTAACATACAAGCTTTTTAACTATAAAATCTACCATATTAACAAACAAACAAACAAAAAAACTAGCTTTTATGACTGTTATTTATTTTATTTTTTTTAGACAAAGAAAATAAGTTATGAATGTCACACGTGCCTATATTACTTCTTTTAAAAAACAGAGAAGCACATGTACCAAATAATGTTCGAGTATAAAAAATACAAAAAAGAACTAAATGAAGTTAATAGAAAGAGTTGAAAATACTCTACAAAATCATAATTGAATAACAAAAAAAAAAAAAAGATCTTTATTATATGTAGAGAATAGAAGAGATGGTTGAAATGAACCATAGTTTCTACCTGAGGCATGCATGATGCATTGAGAAATCTGAAATATTATCGATCTTGTAGAAGTTGTTCTTCAAAGAAAAGACTTTATTTATCTCCATATAGCAAAGGAAAATAAGTATATTATCTATATCTCAACAAAGATCCATTTTATATATAACTATCACTCTATAAATATTACCTCACTTTTTCTCTTAGCCTCTCAATAATTTATACACTGCCATTGCCTCCTTTAAATACTCCACCTTCAAACCTCATTTTTTCTGATTTTTCTCTTTAAATATTATACAAATTTTCACTTTGTGGTTAAAAGTTTTAGTTATTTTTTTCTTTAAAAATTACACAATTTTTTAAGTTTTTGTTAAAGTTAAAGTTAAAGTTAGTTCAAGATAACTTGCAAAGTGTAATATTAAAAAATTTATTTCTAAAACTTTAAGACCTCAATTTAAAACTATATGACTTTAGTTGAATTATTAAAAACACATATATTTTATTTTTTGTTTTTACTTCTCACACATGTGTCCACACACATGACACTTCACTACTTAAGTTACATTCTACAAAAAGTTTCATTAGTTTGATCTAATGAATATGTTAATCAAATTTTTTTTATTTAGTTATACAAAAGCATCATTAGCTTCATTAATTAATCATCATTAACCTTGCCTTAAAAATATTTATTTTTAAAAGTTCTGAACGTAACAATTATTGGTCAGACTTTACTTACTTTACGACTGTGAACTAAAACCGAAGATTTAAAAGAAAGTTTGATTATATAAAATGAGATTTTCTTTTGCAAATTAATGATTCACCAATTGCAGGTGGTCGAAAATTGCGAAACATTTACCGGGACGAACCGATAACGAGATAAAGAACTATTGGAGGACAAGGATTCAGAAGCATATCAAGCAAGCTGATCAACAAAACTCTCAGCAACAACAGAGTTCTTCTGATATTCAAATAAATGACAATAGTAATGAAAATAATAATAATCAAGTAGGAAGCTCTAGCCAAATTCCAAACACAGCTGAACCTATGGACACCACCACCAATAATATTATGTCACCACCTTCTTACCAAGGAATTTTGGAACCATTTTCATCTCATCAGTTTCCTACAATCTCTGATCAATCAACTTCTTGTACCAATGACAATAACTACTGGAGCATGGAAGATCTCTTGTCTTTGCAATTACTTAATGGAGATTAATTAAGATTTAAGTGCTTAATTTCCACATATTATTCTATATAAACCTAAGTGCTTAATTAATTTTGCATCAAGCATATTATTAATTAGGTTTGTTTATATATATAACTAGTTTGATCATGTTTGGTGACAAGTACTTTTCATATTTAAGAACTTAATGGATTATGTTGTGTAATATATAATATAAGAGCTTAATTTATAAAGTGCTTCTATTGTTTTTGAGTTAAGATATTCTTTGCCAAACTGATATGATCATGATATTGCACATGCATTGATGAATGGCCAAACTAAAGCCACGAGAAATCGACACGTGTCATCTGTTTCAACACCAACCAGTGCTATCTTTGTTAAAAATTGAAACCAACTTTTTCATTAGCCCAATGTGATCCACTTACTGCCATGCAACTTTTCAAAACAAACCAAAACCTAACTCTTTGTCTATGCTTACATGCATCATGCACTATGTCATCATTAATTCATCTCATCACATCACATGTCCCTCATAAATATCTCCACACCAATGTTATAATCATCTCGAAAACGCGGTGTAATCGCTCGCAACTGCAATTTAAAACCATGCATGCGGTCGTAAAACATCAAAAACTTAACGTCAGGATCGTTGCATGCGGTCGTAAAACATCGAAAACTTAACGTTAGGATCGTTGCATGCGGTAAAACATCGAAAACTTAACGTTAGGATCGTTGCATGCGGTCGTAAAACATCGAAAACTTAACGTTAGGATCGGTGCGGCGATGGCGGATAGTTTTTCTAAACAGAATTAGTTTTTGATGATGGTATGTTGTAGAAGTTACATAAACTATACGATAGAGTATTTTTTATTATCGTAAGAAGCAAACAAGGCATTGATGATGTACTAAAGTTGAAACCTAACAAGAGTTATACAAACAAAGGGTATGGAAGGTGACTCAACAGACTTGCCATGGGATTCTGCTATACCTTATAAAGAAACAAGGACAGTAACATGTATAGCCTTTGAAAACTGATCTTAAAAGTAACTATGTGTGAAGTTTGAACCGTTCATTGTATTTCCTCACGTTTTTTATGTGTGAAAAGAAAACAAACACGTGAAATAAAGAAGTAATATTGTTCACGTGGTTGGTCGGATATACTTGAAGAAAACATGATGAAATTGAATATTGGAGGTTCTGTTTCTGTGTGCCATGATGACAGCTTTTTAAGATAGATAGCAGTACGTTACTTATTACTTTCACCTGCTTCAATGGGGCTACCTAGTTGCATTGCATTGCATGCATGGGATATACCTTATTTTCATGTACTATATCATATTATAGATATAGTTTCAAAATGAATTGTTCAATATAGAGAATAACATGAGTATTAATATCAACTGTTAAATAAACAAACTAAGAATTAATATGATTGATGCACATATATATACATAATATATTATGTGCTTATAATATCCTTAAATATTTTCAGAAGCATTTGGAAATGACAAAATGTTATATGGATTTTAGAATATACTTCCTTCTTTCACTTTCCTTTAGCTATTCATTTTTCACACTCTTTAATACTAATTCTAACTCGAATCAACCATTATTTTTTATATATCTTTTTAAACAATTATGCTATTTTGACACCAAACAATTAAAATATGCACACAATAATATAAACATAATATATTTAAATATTATCAAATACTTATAAAAAAAATACATGATCAATCCAAAACATAACCAAGATTCAGTTGTCACTATTACACTTGCAAGTATCAACGTTAAATTGATCTTCACCAACATACAAAAAGTGAAATAAATTCCTTTCAATTCTTACATATAAAAAATCAATATTCTAACTCAAAAAATAAAACTACAAAACATCCAAAAGTAAGTTACACTACTATGCTTAATAAATAATTTTTTTTAAATAAATATAAAAAAAATTATTTATTTTTTAGATTAAAGAATACCGATATAAAATTGTTTGATTAATCAATTTCATAATTTTATTTAACTAATATTTTACATTTTATTAATTAACTTTATTTTTCTATTAAAAATTATTTTAATATATAATTTCATTAACCAATATCTTATTTTTTACTAACCAATTTTGTTTTACTACTAAAAATTATAGTTTTAGGTTAGTTTTTTTCTTAACTCAAAAAGTTCAAAATTATAGTCCAAAATATATATTTTGAATCTAAATCGAAATATGTGTGTAGCAATCTGCTGACAACACTTCGACAACTACCTACAATTCGATAGACTAAATTTTTCGACGCACAACTTGTGTCGAGCAACAACTTGCTTCGACACAAGGAATTACACTTTCAACAATGAAATTTATCTGGTACAAGCAACTCATGTTAATATTGATATCCCAATATCAAAACAATGTCACGACAGATGTTACAACATCGGTTTTAACATAAAGAACAAATTTATCAAGATGCAAGTTATACTGAAATTAAATTACAGAATGATAAATAACACATAGACTTATTAACCCGGTTCGGTGCAAATTCACCTACTTTGAGCGCTACCAAGCCAGAAAGAAAATTCACTATCAGTAGTCTTAATTCAAAGTCTAAACAGTCTCAGTTTGCAACTACTTAATCTCTACCCAATGCAACTTCTACATAGGAACCTCCTAGATATGAGAAATCGTCATCTCACTCTATAAATCACCTCAGTGACATCTAACTGTCACAATCCTAGTGACTTGTATAAAAAACAACTCAACAAAAAGATTACACTTCCAATACAAAAATACTTAGTCAACACTTTTGAGAACAATACTTGATTTTGCTTAAAAGCTTCAACTAAGAGCAATACTCAATTCATTACCTAAAGGTTTATGAGTGAGAACATAACATCTACCACAAATATCAAAAGATACAAGGGTGACTTACAACTACACAAGAGACTCTTAAAACCTAAGACTTTAAACTTCCCCTAATTTACAAATTATGAAAAACTTAATTGAAATAATTGATTCATTAGGTTTAAATTTTCTCCTTTAAATACACTTCTGCAGTCCATGGACTTCGAATTCTGCGCTCAGAAGTTTCTTGATCCATAAGCTAAGTGATGCACCAATTGTGCAACAAAATCTCCTTAAATCTTAGAACAACCAATACAAAGTTTCATAAATTGTCTCAAGACGCAATTTAGTAACTAATGTACAATTAGAGATATAAAACATGTTTCAAAATAAATCTTCTTGACCTGCGAAATTTGAAGAAATATATCCAAAAAAATTGTTGGAACCGAATTTAAAGAAAATGGCACAAAGGAAAACTATCGGGACGAGTCGCGTACTAGGTCGCTTTCTTTAAGACGTTTCGTCGTACTGCCAATATTAATGCAAAGCAGTCGAGTTTCGACGACGCCTCCAGGATAAAGCAGCCCGTTCAAATTACGACAATTACTTGCACTATAATTAGTCGTTCGTAAAATGACACCTTCGGATGGTAGTTAACCAGTCTTAGTATCTGGATACGAAGTGATCCAGTCGAAAATAAGATAGAAGAAAAATATAGATGAAGGGAGTAATGAGAGAGAAGAGAGAATTGTAGTAGTAAATTCTGGAACTGCCCAAATGAACCGAAACAACTTAATTTATAAGTGAAAAGGTCACACTGAATGGAACAGGTCTAGTGGGAGAAAATCGTGGGAGAGGTGGAATTGGCCCAGTCAAAAGTGGCTGTTATTTTTACTTGGTCAGCAAGTCTCGCGGACTCTTGGAGGGCAAGCAAAATCAGTCAATAATTAGGTTAAGACTTGGTCTTTTGTGCAGGACACATCACCATCTATTAATTAATTAATAATAATATTAGTATTAATTAATTAATTAATTTCCATTAATTCGGTTCAAAAAAGATTAATTCATCTAGACCGGACCGGACGGCGGCGGCGGCGCGCGTGTCTAGATGACTTATGGGTGTATCCTCACTCCTTTACAAAATTGGGGTGTCCCTTGAGGCCCAACCCAATTGTCCAAGTTGGAATATATATACACTACTAGTATTTATGATCCCTCCTATGTGGGACTAAAATGAATCTTTTCAAATTCACTTCCATATTAGTTCTTACTTGTGCTCATTTATTGCCCATTTAATGTCAATAAATATTCCAACTCCCACTCCAATATTTACATCATACCAAGATTTCCAACAAAAATTATCACAGAATCAAATCAAATCTATCAAAATTTAAAACAGCAGAAACTAATTTACAATAGATCATTTCTTTTTTTCATCTTTTAATATTTTCAGAAGCATTTGGAAATGACAAAATGCTATATGAATTTTAGAATATACTTCCTTCTTTCACTTTTCTTTAGCTATTCATTTTTCGCACCACTTAATCCCAAAATTTGAACTATAGGTATTGTTTCATTTTAAGACTAAATCTAAGTCGAATCAACCTTTGTTTTTTATATACATATTTTAAAAAGTTATGCTATTTTGACACCAAACAATTAAATATGGACACAATAATATAAACATAATATATTTAAAAGTATTATCAACTACTTATCAAAAAATATATAATCAATCCAAAATATAATCAAGACTAATTATCACTATTACACTTGAAAGTATTATTCGTGAATAGTGAATTGATCTTCACTAACATACAAAAAGGAGGAGAATAAATTCCTTTCGATTCTTGCATAAAAATATTAATATTCTAACTCAAAAAAAAAAAAAAAAAACTACAAAGTATCCAAAAGTAAGTCATGTTATTATGCTTGTCATCCTAATAAATAATTTTTTAAAACAAAAATATAAAAAAATTTATTTATTTTGTTAGATTTAAGAGTACTGATATAGAATTGTTTCATTAACCTATTTCATAATTTTATTAATTAATATTTTATATTTTATTAATAAACTGTATTATATATATATATATATATATATATATATATATATATATATATATATATATATATATATATATATATATATATATATATATATATATATATATATATATATATATATATATAT